GAAACCAGAATTCTTTAACTTCGCAAAGAAACACTACTTACTTTAGGATGAGTTAACAAATGCGTATCGAGTGCTTCTGCTGTTGTAAATGCAGCGTCACAAACTTTACATATATGTGGCCTATGCTCAACATGAGACAACCAGTGCTGTTGTAAAGCAAATGCGTCTCCAAATTTCTTTCCACAAATGCAACATGGAAGTGTAGCAGAGAGGACAGACATCGGATCGTCCATGGGAGTTTGTTGCTTCTAAAGTTAAAACAACTTCGCTTCTAGTAAACTCGATTAATATTAAAAATCTAGCCCGGAGCAGGCGCACAAACTTATGGAACACCGAATTTACCTGAATGGAAGAATCGGTAGCATTTGTACCATTAGTTGCAATACCGTTGCTATTGCGATCATAGAATAAACTTGAGGAAATTCTCGAAAACTTGCTGCTGAAAAAAAATAAAAATCCAGTTATAAAAGTCGCAATCAGCTGCTATAAAGAACTTGAGCGTTACAAGGAGGACAAATCACGACTTAAATTATACGAGACCTTTGAAGGGAACTGACGTCGCCAACAACAGAACTGTCTGACACACAAGATAAGGCGTCAGAAGACTTCGAACAAACAACAGTATGCGACTCTTCTGGGACACCGGGACTATGATTTGGAGCCGAATTGGCATGCTGACTAGAGTTTGTACCAACTAGTTTACGGTGCATTGGCGTGGCACCGTTATCTGGAATGACAGTGAGGGCGCTCTCGCCATCGTCTCTGCTTTCTAAAAGAAGTGATTATGAATGTCTATCAGCCAACGCACACAGCCAAAGATGACGAAAAGCACGTCAATTTAGCGAAACAAACATACCGCAAGTAGGAGTCGCCGCTCCACGGTAATGAGCAGCAATGTGAAGCCTCAAATTCTCTCTACTGGGGTACAGCTTTCCGCAGTGCTTTTTAGGACATAAAAAGTCCTTACCGTCAAGTATAGAGACGTGATCGGCATGTAAATGCACCTAAAAGTGAGGGTAAAAAGCATAAAAATAAAAAAGATAAGCGGAGATGAAAGAAAATTCGTTCCTACCCGCAAATCAAATGGTGAGTCGTAGGTAACGTCGCAGAACGTACAACGCGTAGATGTGTCAAGAGGCGAAGGAGCAGTTCCTGTAGGAGGACGTAACGTTGGCGTAGAACTTTCGCTGCGGCCAGCACCATCGCTGTTAGCCTCATCGGACCTTACAGAAGAACCTAAATATAGACGAATTAGAGTGTAATTAACTTAGCAAATTACATCAAATTCGTGAGCGATTTCCTTTACCATTGTCCGATAACGCTGAAGAATCTGCTGTGGGCTTCGTCGGCACGACAATGTCGACAGAACGTCTATCGAAAACCTGTAAAGTACTACAATAAGCATTAAAAAATCTAGTGATAAATACCTAGAACCAAGAATTGGCTGAGTAACACTGATCGAAAAATATGAGACAAACCAATGGCAGCTCTGCTTTTGGAGGTATCCAAACGTTCGCCGAACATGCTTTTGGCACATTATCTTCCATTCTACGCTGCGGATTCAATAAAGCTTCAGCCCTTTTTTGCTGTAATGATTCAGAATTCTTAAAAAAAAATAAATAAATAGGTTGAAAAAGTGACGGTCAAAAAGACACCACATTCCAAATAATATGATCACCTGGCGGACAGAAAAATTATCATTTCGCCTTCCATTTACGTGCGACGGAGAATTCTTCCCTACCGAATAGGAATTCAAAATAGGGCCGGTAGATCGCTTAACAGAAGAAAATGCATAACATGTAGTTGGTGGAGGTCCAGGAGACTGCACCATTTGTTCACGGCATTCTAATGAGCTCGAATCACGCAAAGAATTTACAAGAGCTAAAAAAATTTTGAAATATGTTTGTTTCAGTTCTTCAAAAGCACACTGCCCGATAATCATGTAAAAGTTATGTTTTAAAATTAACAAATGTATACCGAAAAGCGAAGCTCTGGCTCTTTCAGAGTCTGTTGTATCGATGTCGTTTAAATATGCTCCATTCTCCTTTCTAGTTATAAGGGTAAGTGCATCCTCTGGGAGCTTACCCAGGCTTTCCAATTTCATAATGTGCGTTTTTGAACGAAAATGTTTTGCAAGCACTCCGTGCTTTCGAAAACCAATATTGCAATCCATGCACATAAAAGAGCGTGGGTTTTGAGAAATATTCGACGAGCTTTCTTCTAAAAATGACTATTTTTGGGAAAGCACTCAGTGG